TTCAGTTCGCCCAGCCGCAGCCTGGCAAAGTCCGTGGCCAGCTTCAGGGCCTCCCGCAGGCAGCCCACGTTCTTGCCCGTCGCCTGCGCCGAGATGTCCTTCCCGCCGCCTTTGCCGTCCATCAAGCCCGACACCTCCTGCACCCACTGGCTGGCCTTCAGACCCTTATTTGCAGTCTCCTGGGGACGAAAAGAAACAAAAAACAAACAAAAAAATTAGCTTGATCTCAACCCAGCCAACAGCGTGTGAAGAGGGTCCCCGAGCATGGTACAACAGGACAAAGCTCTTCCAGGTGCGTCTCCTAGAGAAGAACGAGGCCAGCAGCCCACACCTACAACCACACAAAGTCCTGGCACTTCCCTGTTTGCAGAGCACAACACTTCTTCCCCCCCTCCCTCCCCATGCAGCCTGATGCTAATCCCAAAGCATGACAGGCACAGCTCTTGCCCCCAAAAAGGGGTTTGGGCCAGGTAGCATTCGGCAGTTACTGAACTGGAGGCTGCGGATCCTCCGCTGAGGCTCAGGGCAGGGCCTTAGCCTTACCTGGGGTACCTGACACAGGCAGGTGATTCTGCCAGCTTCGTTATCCACAGCAAAGAGCATGGTGGCAGTCTGGGGGGAGTGAGTCTTGAAGAGCTTCAGAGATTCGTTCAATGCCTGTAGGAGGAGAAAGTCACTGCAGCACACCTTCCCCTTGCTCCCAACCAGCCCCTGCGGCACCCATGGAGACCTCGAGGACCTGGACTTGTGCTGAAGCAGCCAGCAGCACCCTGTGGTGCTCCTCCTCCTGAAGACGAGCTATTGTCACAGCCCGGGCTGCGCTAAAGCCTTGCAGGGGATGCAAGCCCTGGCTGTGTCCCCTCACAGCTGCAAGGAGGCAGGAGCAAGGAGCTGCTTTTACTTCCCCACTTTCAGTTATCCAGGAACTGGCAAAATTGGCATCCGCGTGGCCCCAAAGCAAGTGAACCTTTGCCCGAGGGTCCTGGCTGGAGGGGAAAATGCTCTGCCCTGCAACCTGAGCTCCCAGCGGGAAGGAGCGGCTGTTCCGCAGCAAGTTGAGGGCTCAGCTGCAGCGTGAAGAAGCTGCGAGGGTTATTGGACACAGCAGGAAGGCCGGAGAAACCGGGGAGACAACCATGCATCCCCTATTCCCAAGGAGACCGTCATCCTTTGCTCGTGTAGACGGTACGATGTGACAGAGCTGTGGGAGCAGGCCCTCCAGCAAGGGAAGTGCTGATGCTCCAGCTGGACAGGGAATATGCAGCTCCCCAGGCTGCTGGCACCACCATCCCCTGGGATGCACCCTTCTGCCACGGAGAACGCTGCGTTGGCACCCACTGCGAGCAGGAGCGCTGGCATCGTGGAGATGGGGACAGCCACAGAGAGTGAGCAGTAAGCGGGATCAGCTCCGCAACTCCCAGAGCGGAAATTTAAATAGGGAGTTAAAATTTGAGCGGTCCAACTTCAGGACATGATCAGGCCCCGCTGCCTGGCACTCACTGGGCTCAGCACCACGGCGCAGCGCACACAAGGGAGCTTTTATTCACAACAGAAATAACTCAGAAAGAAATTTAAGTTGTGAGTGGAGGGAAGGAGCAGTTTTAGCCCTGACCGGAGAAGAATTTGAACCTCGCTGCAGCAGACAGCACCCAGGAGCTGAGGCGCAGCTCTCTGGCCCAGCCCTGTCCACACATGCAGCCCCAGACACCGTTCCCAGCGCTGATCTGCAACAGCCACAAGCATCATGACTTTGGTGGCTTGGCAGAGCTCCTTAAGCCTGTATTTGAGTGCTGTGACTGCTCCTGGATGAGTCTTACCTGGGACACAATG